TTGCATTTATTGGCTCTTATTTTCTCATCTCTTATTTTAGTTGTGTATTATTATACCGTTACTCTGGTCTCAACAGTGGTATCAGAGCTATTGGTTTAGTTTATTCCGCTGCTATTGTCATTAGAATAGTGTTGGTAAAATTTTGAGTATGCTCTGTGATTGCGGTTTAATCCGATCTTTCACATAAAAAAAGAATTGTTACTGGAAAAGTTTGGTAGTGTTAAACTGCTATCTGAGAAAGTTCTGGCTAGGAAAGATTTGGTATTTAAGAGTGTCTATAGTGACCCACCTCTCTTTCCTGGGAATTTTTTTTTGGTGTGTTAGTTCATGGTCTACCTGTGTTATTCCAGTAGACAATACTATTCATAGTGAGAAGTGCATAAGTCGGTATAATAAAGAGAGAAAATATGGCAGCAAAATATGAGATAGAGAAATTTAATGGGAGTAATTTCTCCCTGTGGAAATTGAAGATAAGAGCAATTTTGAGAAAAGACAATTGTCTTGATGCAATTGAAGGCAGACCTGCAGATATTTCAGAAGAAAAATGGAGAGAAATGGATAACAATGCTGTTGCCAATTTGCACTTGGCATTGGCAGATTCAGTGTTATCTAGTGTTGCAGAAAAGAAGACTGCAAAGGAGATTTGGGACACACTGATCAAATTGTACGAGATCAAGTCTCTTCACACCAAAATATTCTTAAAAAGAAAACTCTACACTCTTCGAATGAGTGAGTCCACACCTGTGACGGACCACATCAACAATCTGAATACGCTGTTTGCTCAACTTACAGCTTCAGATTTCAACATTGTAGAAAATGAACGTGCAGAACTTCTACTCCAGAGCTTGCCAGATTCATATGATCAACTCATCATCAATATTACAAACAACAACATCATTGGTCATCTATCCTTTGATGATGTTGCCGGAGCAGTTCTTGAAGAAGAATCCAGGCGAAAGAATAAGGAAGACAGACTGGAAAGTTGTAAACAAGCAGAAGCTTTGACGATGATGAGAGGGAGATCAATGGAGCGTGGTTCTAGTGGGAGCCAAAATCATGGTAGATCAAAATCTCAGAGAAGGAAGAACCTCAAATGCTACAACTGTGGCAAGAGAGGGCACGTAAAGAAAGATTGTTGGAGCAGGAAGAGTGAAGGAGGGAAGAATATTAAAGCATCAACCTCTCAAGGTTGTGTTGCAAGTACTTCAGATGATGGTGAAATCTTATATAGTGAAGCAGTAAAATCTAGAGGTGGAAGACAACTTCATGAATGTTGGATATTGGATTCAGGTGCAACCTGGCACATGACTCCATGTCGAGACTGGTTTTACAATTATGAACCTATCTCAGGAGGATCCGTGTTCATGGGAAATGATCATGCCCTAGAAATTGCTGGAATTGGTACTGTCAAATTAAAAATGTATGATGGTACCATTCGAACAATTCAAGGGGTACGACATGTGAAGGGTTTGAAAGAGAATCTATTGTCCATTGGGCAATTGGATGACCTCAAGTGCAAGATCCACATTGAAGGTGGGATCATGAAGGTAGTTAAAGGCAATTTGGTAGTGATGAAAGCAGAAAAGATCACAACAAATTTATACATGCTTTTGGGAGATACGTTGAAAGAAGCAGATGCATCAGTTGCAATTAGTCAAGAAGAAGAAACAATGATGTGGCATTGTAGACTTGGTCATATGTCAGAACGAGGCCTGAAAATTCTAGCAGAACGTAATCTCTTGCCCGGGCTCAAAATGGTAACCTTACCATTTTGTGAGCACTGTGTGACAAGTAAGCAGCATAGATTGAAGTTTGGCAACGTGACTACAAGAAGCAGACACATACTGGACTTGATTCATTCTGATGTATGGGAATCACCGGAAGTATCTATTGGAGGAGCAAAATATTTTGTATCATTCATTGATGATCACTCAAGGAGATTGTGGGTGTACCCAATCAAGAAGAAGTCAGATGTGTTTCCAGTATTTAAGGAATTTAAAGCACTAGTAGAACTTGAAACTGGGAAAAGAATTAAGTGCTTAAGGACAGACAATGGAGGAGAATATGTAGATGGTGATTTTCTAACATTCTGTAAGCAAGAGGGTATTTCAAGGCAATTCACAGTGCCTTATACACCTCAGCAGAATGGTGTAGCAGAGCGGATGAACAGAACTCTTCTAGAAAGAACAAGAGCTATGCTAAGAACAGCAGGAGTGGCTAAATCTTTCTGGGCAGAAGCAGTGAAAACTGCCTGTTATGTAATAAACCGATCACCATCAACAACAATTGGTTTGAAGACACCAATGGAGATATGGAATGGAAAGCCACCTAATTATTCTTCATTACATGTGTTTGGATGTCCTGTGTACGTGATGTACAATTCCCAAGAAAGAACAAAACTGGATCCAAAATCCAGGAAATGTATATTCTTGGGTTATGCTGACAATGTTAAGGGGTATCGCTTGTGGGATCCCATTGCCCGCAAGGTTGTTGTTAGCAGAGATGTAGTCTTTGCAGAAAATGAATTGCACAAGGAGCAGAAAGATGACAGTACTACCAAAGACACTACTTCAGTAGTGATAGAAAGGAAAGCTAAAGAAGATGACAACTCTGAAGCAGAACATGAGCACGGAAAACAAGAATCAAATGATGCCAATGATGGAGAAACTCAACAAACAAGACGTGAGATAAGAAGACTATCTTGGCACTCAGACTATGTTATGGCAAGTCATGATGCATATTGCCTTCTAACAGAAGAAGGAGAACCATCAACCTTTCATGAGGCTTTGAGGAGTTCAGATGCTTCTTTATGGATGACAGCAATGCAGGAAGAAATTGAGGCCTTACATAGAAACAATACATGGGAACTTGTTGAGCTTCCAAAAGGTCGAAAAGCTATTGGTTGTAAATGGGTTTACAAAATCAAACGAGATGGCAATGATCAAGTGGAGCGGTATCGTGCCAGATTGGTGGTTAAAGGATATGCTCAGAAAGAAGGCATTGATTTCAATGAGATATTCTCGCCAGTTGTCCGATTAACCACAATCAGAATTGTTCTGGCAATGTGTGCTGCACATGATTTACATCTTGAGCAACTTGATGTAAAGACTGCTTTTCTACATGGAGAACTTGAAGAGGAAATATATATGCTCCAACCAAAAGGTTTTGAAGAACAAGGAAAGGAAGACTTGGTTTGCAGGTTGACCAAATCTCTGTACGGTTTAAAACAGGCGCCAAGGTGTTGGTACAAGAGATTTGATTCCTTCATTATTAGCCTCAGATACAACAGACTGAGTTCAGACCATTGTACGTATTACAAGAGGTTTGGTGATAATGATTTCATCATTTTGTTGTTGTATGTGGATGACATGCTGGTGGTAGGCCCCAGCAAAGATCGAATTCAAGAATTGAAGGCACAATTAGCTAGGGAGTTTGATATGAAGGACTTAGGACCAGCAAACAAGATTTTAGGGATGCAAATACACCGAGACAGAAAAGATAGGAAGATTTGGCTCTCTCAAAAGAATTATCTTCGTAAAGTCTTGCGGCGCTTCAATATGCAAGACTGTAAGCCAATCTCTACCCCACTTCCTGTCAGTTATAAATTATCCTCAAGTATGTGTCCTAGCAATGAAGCGGAGAGGATGGAAATGTCTCGAGTGCCGTATGCATCAGCGGTGGGAAGCCTTATGTATGCCATGATTTGTACTAGACCAGACATTGTACAAGCAGTGGGAGCAGTCAGTAGGTACATGGCAGATCCTGGTAGAGAGCATTGGAATGTTGTAAAGAGGATCCTTAGATACATTAAAGGAACCTCTGATGTTGCATTATGTTTTGAAGGATCAGAATTTATTGTCAAAGGCTATGTTGATTCAGATTTTGCAGGAGATCTAGATAAAAGGAAATCTACTACTGGCTATGTGTTTACACTTGCTAGCGAAGTAGTAAGTTGGTTATCTAAGTTACAGACTGTTGTGGCTTTGTCTACTACAGAAGCTGAATACATGGCAGCTACTGAGGCATGCAAGGAAGCAATCTAGAGTCAAAGGCTATTGGAGGAACTTGGGCACAAACAGCAGACTACTACTGTGTATTGTGACAGTCAAAGTGCTTTGCATATTGCAAAGAATCCAGCTTTTCATTCTAGAACAAAGCACATAGGTATACAATACCACTTTGTCCGTGAAGTAGTAGAAGAAGGAAGAGTGGATATGCAGAAGATCCATACTAAAGAAAACATAGCAGATATAATGACAAAGCCAGTCAATAGTGACAAGTTTACATGGTGTCGGTCCTTATATGGCCTATTAGAAATATAAACAACATGTAATGTATTAGGAATGTGTGTGAAGATATGATTAACTTAATCATAATCTTCAAGTGGGAGAATTGTTAGGAATAAAGTCCCACATCGGTGGGAACTTCAAGTGGGGGCCCTTCCTTTTCTTATATAAAGGGTAAGGGTCCATCAAATTAAAATCATCCCAAAAATCATCTTTTCCTTATATCTTTGTATTACACTGAGATCTTGTACTCGGTAGTAATAGTCTCCTATTTTGAGGAGTAAATTATAGAGTGAGGATTAGTAAAATTTTTCTTCTGTGATAATTTTATATTGCATTTATTGGCTCTTATTTTCTCATCTCTTATTTTAGTTGTGTATTATTATACCGTTACTCTGGTCTCAACAATTATGAAAAGGAAATTCATTTATAAGTCGTTACACAAAATAAAATGCTAAATAAAAAGAAAATTGCTAATGCAGCAAGAATGAGTAGTAAAAATCATGTTTAGATGTCAATATCACAGTTTGCGCTTCAAGTTTTTATATTTGAACATTTTGAACCTTAATGGCAAATTATTCTTACTAAGAGTACCTACCTCACACATATGTATCTAAAGAGCGTTTTTAAGCTTGGTACCCAAATGTGAGGGAGAAAATTTGGCACGTATCAATATTCTAGGCTGGATTGGAAGCAGACTCGAAGATTATAATTACTAGCTTCAATAGCATCTCCATATAAAATTCAGTATTAAACATTTTGTCACAGTTTCTGTAAGATATTAACATTGTATCACAGTTTGCGTCACAGACTTCTTATTACTAAAAATGAAAAGCTACAAGATTCCTGCTACACAAGCTAGGACTTTAGAATCCTTAAATCAAACTAAAAAGGAAAAGAAAATAAGGGGAAAAATGAAGAACAAAAGTGGAAAAAAGATTCACCTGGACCTAAACTCACACTAGGCAAAAAATCAGCATTATTTTTATATAATTACAATTGCTAACTTTGGCACACTCATTAAAGGGGATTAAATTAATCCTCCTTTCTTTGGCTATCTACAAGTTAATAAATCAGGCACAAGCTTTAGTGCATTGCTTCTTCTCATAACTTGTACATTTGCACTTTGCCTTGCAATCTGTGAGTATCTGCAGGAGGTGAAAGAAATTTAGTTAAACAATGTATACTTTGGAGTTTTAAGGTGTTATTATCTTCAAGATTTATGGGAAGACTTGTAGTACCTTAACTTGTTGCTGCAGATCCTTAATGTACTCAACTGCCAAATCTAACATATCTGCTGTGCTTGTTTGCTGCCAAGGTAAAGAAGTATCAAGTTATCATCAAAGTGTATGTGAAATTTCAATCACAATGTGATGTACTTGGGAAAGTGTTGAATTACCTTATCGGATTTTGGGAAAAGGCCTTGCAATTTCTTGATTCTTTCACTAATTCTTGTTCTTCTTACCTGAAATTTGAGGATAACATACGTGAATCAGTTAAGCTGCATAGCCTTACTAGAATGGTAAAGTGGCTAGGACTATATATTTATATAATAGGAATGCTAGCAATAAACTCTTCAACACACTTCTTATAATTGGTTAGTTTTTAAAACTTCAGAGTATTTTTTATGAAGTGATCAATTTACAAAACAAGTATTTTGAATTTTAAAAAAACTGACCACTGACAGTGTGTTCTGAAGAATGTGTTCAAAAAAGTGTTACTGGCATTTCTTTTTATGTAATTGCTTGGTGTGGTAGAATTTTACCCTCTCTGCAATGCTTCTTGGGTGAGTGGCAAAGCCTCTTTTGGCTCGAATTTTACAAGGAACAGATCCTTGAATTTGAAGAATCTTCTCTATGGATGTCATCTTAGTAGAAGAACTAGGAAGACTCAAATGGTGAGTCAAACCCAGATTTTGATAGCAAATATCAGCTTCCTGATGATGATGATAATTTTCAGTGATCAGCAAAGGAAAAAAATTCAATCGATTGAAATCAAGTTCACAAACTTTCTTATATACCTGAGATTCCAAGCCATTTGAAGTGGAAAACATGATTTCATCTTCACTTTCTGATTTTTGGGCAGTGAATGCAGAAGTGTCCCAGATTTCACTGAAGTTAGGTATGTAACATCTGGAGTTGCCACTGTCATTTACCAGGTTTCTACTTTGGACACAATTTTCTTCTAGGCTTTCATTTCCATTTTCAGCTATTTGTGGCATCCTTTTCATGCACGAGGATGGCCTAGATGAGAAAATAAGAGTACCATGCAACCCACTAGTTGATGCATTAGCCTGTCTATTTGTAACATCACTGGCTTTAAAGCTTCCTACCTCTCTCAATGCTGCAAGATCTGCAATTAATAGAAACGGATTCATAACACTAAAACTAATGTATTTTTAAATCATCATGAGCAATTGCATACATATATACAAATATAGGGGGCATATTTAGTGAGAAGTGAGAGGTGTTAAATCTTTACAACATAACTATACTATACATGAATGGTAAAAAATCAGTGTGTTTTACTTAAATCTGATCTCGACCATGAATTTTGATTTGGTTGTCAAGATTAACTTCGCCAGAATAATATGAACAACTTCTCCCCATTAATTTATTCTGTTAGCATTACCTCAGAAAAGAGGGATCTGATGTAATTTAATACTAATGAACTTGCAAGGTGTAATTAATTCTGAACATTTCCATAAACATAATAATAGAGATGCATTATTCATTTATCCGGTGTTGTTTCTGAGAGCAATTTCATGTGGGAAGATTGTTTCAATTTAAGCCATACCATGTATCTTTCACTTATATGTGAAAACATTTATAAACCATAGGAAAACAAAAAAGAATGTACATAAAAGAAAAATCTTAAAATAGCTAGCAATAAAGAGAAAATGCATACCATTTTCAATGGAGAAAAATCCGGCAGGGGAGCTCTTTTGCCTAAGGAGATTGGAGCAATTCCTGACACCCATTTTAGATTGAGTGGAGTTTTCTGAAGTCATGGTGTTCACCACACCAAAAGAGCCATCAAAAGCATTGCCAGCAGCGCTGGAAGAAACATTTGGCAAGCCTTGAATTTGCTGCGACTGGTAAATTAACTGAGACCCCCCATAAGAATAACCATTCTGTTGTTGTTGTTTTGGTCCTTGTGGAACAGATGCCCCCATTTCCTGCTTCACAGGCTTGCCTCCAAACTCTTGCAATGACTCAGAACTACTCCATCCATTGTTGGATGATACCAATTTGGACAACATGGTCTCCATTTCTGAAGTTGTTGATGGAAGATAATGGTGATGGTCCTCACTTGTAAAAGATTCCTCATTAGGACAGCCATTAATGTTGTTGTCAATAAGGCTTGCCAGCAATGAGCTTGGAGCAGAACGGTACCTAAATAGTCCAGAATTGGGTTGGTGACAGTGCTGTTGTGGATGTCCAATACTTGAATCCATTTCTTGATTTCTTCTTAGCTCCACATCTGAGTACTTGAGAACAGGACTATACATAACACTCATCTTGTCTTGGCAATTAATTACCTGAAATCACCCCAAAAAAAAGAATAAAAAATTATTATTATAATTCCTCTCTATAGCTAGCCAAGCAAGTAAGCAACTTTTCTGGACATGGTAGTATAGCAATATTAATATTGCCTTGATAAAACTATATATGATATTGATAACCTCAAAATTATGTTCAAACTTGCAAAGGGAAATTGGAACATCAAACTAAATGTTCAACATTTTTCAATGGCTAAAATCTGACAAGAGTTGAAAATTAACAAACGTTATTTCAACATAATCAAATGACCAACAAAATTTCTGCTCAGAATCTTTCTTGAATTAAGTTCCTACTGCAATCAGAGTAGCTTTTGGGACTAAAAAGCTCATAAAAACTTGAAAGGCAATAAAGGGCATACGTGGAACTCAAACTATGGCGCATTCAAATCCAAGGTTCAGGCCCTTCACCACCCTGAGTCTAGTTTTGAACTCAAAAAAATGTACACACGAATACAGATGATAGACCAGGAAGGAACGAGAAAGAGTTGTAAGGGTAGAAAGCTAAGATTATTATTTTGTCTTGCACTTGTGACATATTTATGCTGTGTCATGTTCAGTAACAACCCTTGTGGTTCTACAATATAACGATTATACCTTGATGACACAAGCGGGTCCATTGTAACATTGATTTTTCATTCTCTTTCCTTTGACCACTAAAATTCATGAAGTAGAAATAATAAAAATCATTTCATAATAAAATAAATAATCAAAATCTGAGTCTAGATCTAACTTTGGTTGTTCACATTGAATAGTGAAAGTGGACTATTATATACTTTTTCAACTATTATTAGACTTTCTAATTTCGTAAAATTAAAGTAGAAAATAAGTACCGATTTATAGAGGTGTGTGAAGTCATGTCACTTTTATGTATCTATAAATTACATTTATTTGTTAGTCAAATTAATTAATAATTTAAAGAAATTACATAAACAATTGAATAATAAATAAAGTAACCATTGAAATATTGAACTAGTAATATATACTATATATAGTTCTTAGTTTAGTAGAAGGAACAAATGAATATGGTAAATGATGCTTTGCTTACGAACCAAGCGACCTTTGTCTATGCATTAGGGGTGATTGTGGTGAAGAGAAATTGTACGGTTTGTGTTCTTTGGTTGCAGGAAAGGGCACCAGCTTTTACTTTTCTTAATTCTCATGTTCATGCATTATCTCTAATGATTCTATTATATTTTAAAAATCGTGTGCTTTTGGAAAAGGTACTTATCCTTAAACTTCTGTATTTCGCTTTTTTCTATTTTATATATATATATATAATATGATAAAATATTTAATAATTTTTATTTTTCATAAAATTTACAAAAACATTTGAACTAATACCTAGATTATTTAATTTCATATTTTATAAAAAATTATTAAATGATGTAAATACGTAAGTTTTATCTTAATGTTAAGATTTGTATATATACACTGACTTTATTATTATTTAAAGATTGTGTTTTATATCAATTTGATATAATTTTGAATGGATATTTCGATTCTTTCGTATAAATCTCGGTCATGTTTTAGGAGAAAAAAAATATGGGACAGTAATTGGATAGGCTTAATATGTATTCGAATTTTCTCATGTTAATAAGTAAAAGGACAAAATTATGTTTCCAAAGAAAAAGATACGAAAGTAAAATTAAAGAAATTTATATATATAAAAAATACTAGTAACATTCTTTATTATTAACAAAATTTTATTACAACTAAAAAAAATACAAAAAAACTTTAATTTAAAAGTAAGAAAGAGTAAGACTCATATAATCTTTATATATTTTTTTAATAAATTTTAACGAATAATAAAAGTGTGTTAAAAAGTATTTTATTAATATTTATCTTTATATTATATAAATAACTGTTACCTCTACTGTAATTATTTCCTGTCTGTTGTTTTCTCTCGTAAGTCGTAATATTGCTGAAACTATCACAAGAAGATCTAAATCTTGTGCATAATAGTCTCCAAACGAAAGGGGGAAATAAGAACCTATAAAATATAAACTTGTGTTTTCTACAAACCTATGGGTGGTATAATTGCTTGTATTCAGAAAGCAAATAATATTATAGTCTTAATATGAACATGGAGAAAGAAACAAGAGTTGTGTGTTACATCCCAGAATGTTGAAAGCAAAGGAAGTATACAAAGCCTTGAGCGTGTGGTTCATCGAAAGCCTGATTTTCTCTTCATTATTTCAATCAAAATATTGAACTTGTGCACTGTACCAAAGATGGCTGGTATTTATTAATGTGAACAAAGACATATATTATATTAAATAAAGTAAGTCAATGATGTCAGAATGCCCCAATTGAGTTAGGACCATGAGTTTCACCAGCCGATGTTCAATGAAATAGGAATAAGAAGACAAATAACTGAGTCTCGGTCAATGAGTTCTTCAGCTTCCAGCTAGGTTACCTCTTTCCTAAACTAACCCGCAAAAGATGACTCAACATTGTACTTAACCATGTATTTTATATTGACTCATACCCTAATGAAAAGGGAGTTCAATGTTCTACAACTAAGTACTTTGTTAGAGTTAATTTTGTTTAAATTAAGTTTAAAATACATATGTTTTAAAAAAGAAGGGCTGAATAGATAATGGTGGTTTTGTTTTAATTTATTTGAAATATGAAATAAAATGATTTGAATAAAAATAGTAGGCTAAGTTTGACTGAAGGTGCAATAAATGGAATAGAGATGACACGGTTATCCCGTGGTGCAAGACGCTATAATATAAAAAAGCTTGACATATAATAAAAGCATTGGATGTCAACCCCTTTAATAAGAAGACAAAACAATTGGATAAGAATTGGCTTCTTCCCTCAGAGAGATGCAAAGATACACAATAAATTCGTTGCTGCCGCAGAAAGCAATGCAGTGTCGTGGATAAGAACCAAGTCTTAGGGGCCAACTTGCAACTTCGCTCTCCAAACATAAACACTACTACTAATTTATTTACAAAAAAAAGGTAAATTAAAGGAGGGTTTGTTCATTTTATATTAATAGATGGTAAGAATTGTAATTTAGTTTAAAAAATGTTAATATTTATTCACCCCTTGATTTGAAAAGAGTATTGAATATCTTTTAAAAATATTTATAAATACACTTCAGTTAGAATAATAATAATAAATATGAGCACAATGATTCGTATATATTCCCACATTGTTATAGTAAGTCAGTGTCAGTCAAACAGCTCAACCTCTTCATCCTCTTATGTCTATCAAACATAGAGGAAACATATAGTGTAGAGAACAAGTGCATACAACATTATGTAAAATAATCTTTTTTCACGGCGTAAAACTGTGATAGATAAGCAATAAGATTAAGATACTCCTTCAAAAAATAAAAAAATAAGAAAAATATATATTATCAGTCGTGAATATTAATGAAAACATTTTTACTTATTTTTCAAAAATAACAAATTTGCAATTTCAATATATAATTAAATTCTCTAAAAATATAACTTATTAAATATATTTATCTATAATATATACAACGTAGTCCTCACATCATCTGTAAATTATATAGATGATTTTATTAGAAAATTAATTATTAGATTAAAAATTTTATCATATAAATTATTTTTAAAAAATTTGATTTTAATAAAATAAGCAATATATATTCATAATTGAATAATTAGAGTGATAAAAGGATAAATTATATATAGACATATTAATATGTTTATAATTGGATTAAAAAAGAAAACACAGATGATTCAGTTTCGGAAGTAGATTCCTTTCATATTAGTGATATGAAATTAGCTAATAGCTAATATACTGGTACCTTCCATGCCCGACATTTCTACCAAATTTTCTTTTAAGGATTTGAAAAACTTAGATCCAAACATTATGAATATTTGTTTCTTGCTCCATCCTTCCCTTCAAAAAAGTTGACTTTCATTCTCAACCTCATCAAATCTAAAATTAGAGAGTTTGACTAATTATTTTAAAGGACAAAATAGTTAAACGATATGCATAAAATATATAATTTATCATCCCAATAATATTAACACAAAAGTAATTATTAAATAACGTACAAAATTATATTTACTTAAAAAATGTTATTTTTCATTCTCTCAAAATGTTCTTAGTTTTAAAGTCATCAATAATTGCATTAGAATTTAATTTTGTATCCTATTACACAGTCTTGTTTTGATTGTCTTCATGGTTAACTAAAATAATTGTGTTCATCGTGTTTTCTTTGATTTGATTTTTTTTTAACGTTTGGGGTTTATTGTTTGAGTGTAAAATAATAAACTGTAAAATATGTAAGAAAAAATGAGCTTGGACTGAAAAGAAAAATTATTGGAAGACCCATTAATACAAAATTTATATATTCAATTAAAAAATTACTTTTGTTGGGAGGACAACATTCTTCCTACTATCACTCCCTGTCACTGTGTACAACATTCTTGTTGCTTTTTTCACAAAATAATAAATTCTCAAATTTATCTTTAAAATACATTAATTTTACCGTGGAGAATTAAAGTAGATAAATTAATGATCCATCATGGACCACCCTCAAAAATATTAACTAGGAGTTATATGATCTTTTAAAAGTATTTGATGTATAATCTAATTCCTTGCTCTCCATTAAATGCTAAAGATAGCCAATGAACAATCATAATTACACATACTAAGTGTATATGCATAATGAAAGATAGAAAGAGAAGAAATCATTGAGATGTGAATACTCCTAGTAGAAATGCATTGCAATGAAAACAATATGCACAAAAGATCGTTGTATTCTTGAGAACATTTTCAATGAAATCAATCTACTCAAGAAATACCCGGTATCAATGAGAACTTCTTTAATGGCTATCAACAATGACATCGAGATCTTGATTAGAATCTCTACAATTACCATCAACAGGGAAAAGAAAAAAAAAAGAAGCAAACACATTGTCAAAAGAGTATCGAATTATTCAAAATTTCTTCTTTTATGAAGCATTGTAATACAATATCATTTTTACAACATTTAATATTTTAAACACTTTCAATAAAAAAATTTCATAATATGGTATACATATTACAGTGTTTGAGTCGATGGGCTAAGATTAGGATCCATGCTAGTAGATCTTGACAAGGAAGGTTACAATGATGAATCTTTTATTATAATATTTTAAGCTCAAGAAATATTCTATGTTGTCAATTTAGTTTATGTGAAATGTTCCATTTTATTTGTGACTAACAAAATATATATGTATTTTATATCATGAAGATACTAAAATTGAGGATGATCATTTTCTTGGAACATCGCAACCCCTTCAAAGTAATCTAATGTAGATAATAATTTGTATATGAGAGATGATCATGAAGATAAGATTGAAATTAATCCATCTTTTCATGTTGACAAGGGATAAACTAGTCTCAATATCATATGATAGTTTAACATGTATGAATTTTATTTTATTTATAAAGTAGTTCATATATCCCCTACTTTTGATAAGGAGATGCATAAATTGGAATGTAATAATGTATACATTATTAATTTAAATTTTGATATTTTATA